AAATCACCTGCTCAAGCTGAATCTGTTTGATTCTAACCATAGTATCATATTCTAATCCGTCCAAATGATTTAAAAAGATTTTACCACCAAGAGATATTGGTGCTATTATTTAAAATAATTAGAAAAATATTTTTGATCAAGAGCATTTCCTAAAAATGTCTTACCATAATGTTGAGTTATCTGATAACCAGATGGTAAATCAGGATAAAAATATTGCTTGCGATCGAATGAAGATACTAGTTGAACATTTCCTGATAATGCTAACGATGCCGTGACAGCAAGTTCAACACATTTAGCATTTAATTGCTGATTTAACAATGATAAATTTTATTTAGTTTTTTTTTTACAATTATATAATTCATTGGTTTAAATCTTCTACCGGAAGTGTTCCCGGAAATGCAGCATCAATTACTGATACGTTGGTATTAACAGGTTCATTAAAAGATGTGGATGATGCTATTTTATTAATCATTTTTAAATGTTATTACTTTTTTTATTGATATTACATAATATTAATTATTCTTTCAATAATAAACACATACAAGAAAATAATTTTGTCTTTGAATTTAATTGCGCATGAATTTCTAATCCAATAATTGCTTCCCATTTATTCGATTTATAAAAAATCGGCCGCTCTGATCCAATCTGAGTACTATATCGACACAACGTTGCGTGCCTTTTTACTTGTGATATAAATCTTTCGTAGCCTTTTTTTTTAAGATATGTGGTAACGAATGTTTTAATAATCATTGACATCTTGAATGAAGTATCAATAATGATACGTATAAATATGATTATCGAGATCAGGACATATTCCAACATGTGACTTAAAATTATTATTATGATGTGTGTACAATACCTAAACGTACAAACAGTAAAAAGAAGATACGTACAATACAGTTCATTTTTACCGGATCTTACCATTTTAGAAAATCCCATTAAATCATACGTTATTTATGCATAATGCATATATATAAGTTTAGTTCAAAGGGACTACCGTATATTGTTGATCGGCTCATAGCGATAGTTTATTATTGAAGGTACGTACGAATTCAGGATATTTTTAAAATTTGACTTACGAGACTTTGACTAAAGAGAATTATGAACAATTATTCATCTTTTTGAATATCGAAATATATGTACATCATGTGATTGATTAACTCTGTTTTTTTTTTTTTTTTTTTTTGAAATAAATAAGCCGATCATGAGCCAGGTTTCAACGATCTCAACAATTACCAGTTTATCAGAAAATATGTTCCTGGTCGAAAATGGTAAATAGAGAATTTTTCATTTTTTATCTTCCTTTCACAACCTATTAGAACAGATTAGTTGATTTTGAATGTTGATTATTATAGTAACGGATATGTCATCCTCGCCGTTATCCATTCCAGAGTGCCTTTCAAGAATTTTTGAATTCCTTTGGGATGACAAAAATTCTTTGCATAATTGCCTTCTAGTTTGTCGCTCTTGGTGTAGAATTGCTATTCCGATATTATGGAGAGAACCATTTATATTATTGAAAGAGAAGCCTAATGAATATCTGCTTAGAACTTATATTTCATGCTTTGAAGATCAAATTCAATGGTCTTTTATTCGGAATTGGATGTTATTCCCAATCAGTACCACATCACCTTCTCATCCGACATTATTTGATTATCCATCATTTTTACGGTAAATAATTTTATTGTATATATATTTTTTTTATGTAATCGTTACTAGATTAAAAATTTGTTTAAATATTTGTAACTTTTGTACTCATGGTTCAACTTCTTTTATATAATATACTATCTTTTTTAAGACAGCTCGACTTACGTTCTATGTTTAGTTTAATCAATGCCTGGTTCGTGAAAACTGCATCAAACGAAGTACAAAGGCGCTTTAGAGAGAGTGAAATTTGCATTATTTTAATTTCCAATAAATTGCTCGAGTTATTGCTAAGTCATTGTCCTGCTTTGGATACTTTAATTCTTTGGTCCGGAACACCAGATTACATTACAATCACTCAATCATTGTCTGGCAAGAGTACCTGTATCTCTCGATTATCAACACTTCAGATTGAAGGAAATTATCATGATATTGATTTATTCACATTATCACAACAATGTTTTCACCTAAAAAAATTATTGGTAGATGTTGAGGTTACATATCATGGAATGAATATGTTGATTAATCTTATTCAAGTTCAACATAATCTTGAACATTTTCGGCTTGGTTTTCGACCAGAGAATAACGGATTTACAAATCATGTTACTCCACGTCTTCTTACATCATTAGCATCTCAAGCTAAATCTTTAAACACTGTTGAATTTAATAGATGCAACTTTCTTGAATGTGATGATTTAAAGGAGCTTGCACAATGTGAAAATATTCGTCATCTGATATTATGGAAATGTGTTGGCATAGGACCGGATAAGATGCGTACATTACAAAATACAAATTTTAGTAAATTGAAAAGATTAGAACTTTACGTACATCCTGGAATTTCAGCTGATATGGTGATTAAAATTATTCGAGAATCAAACAATCAATTACAAAGTTTACGCCTTGCTGGGATAACACCACAATCAGATTTGCTTAAGGTTTTAGCAGTGATGACGATGCACTGTCAACACCTCACAGATTGTAGGCTAGTGCTCAAAGATGGAGATAACAACGCGTTTAACGCTTTACTCTCATTTTTGGATGTATCAAATAAGTTGGAAATTCTCTATATCACTTTTACTGATAGGGCTTATCCTATATGTAAATATGAAGAAATGGCAAAGCATTTACCAACCGGCTTGCATGAACTTGTATTCCGTGACTTTTTATTTACTCCACAATCACTTGAAGCCTTTTTGGAGAATATGAATACTTCATTTCAATCTTTAAGCTTTTCTAAGAGATATTTTTCTCCGGCACACATCGATGCTATCATTAGATATGTTAAAAAGAACTCTAATTTGTTTCGATTGATGAAACATTCTCGATATATGTCTATAAAATCAAGATCAGCACCATGTAATTTTTTTTTCTTTTTAAATGATTAAAATTATTATTAAATACTTTATTACTATTAATGCTAATTTTATTTTTTGTTCAGAATTTTCGATTTCTGGGGCAGGTAAAGAAGACACATGTACTGTATGAATAATATTGTAATTCATGAATATAGATTAAGTATTTACTTAGATGTTTTACTATAGTATTATTGTTTTGTGATCAACATTCAGAAATGATAATGTCTGGGGATTATTATTTAAAGTTATCAAAAGTACAATAATAACGTGTATACAGATAAAACTTGGTTATACTGTTAGATTACTACTATTACTACATATTGTGTAATTAAAATAAATAAATGATGTGTGGTGATGATGAGATGAAACTGTATATTTCTATCCATGCTACCCTTTATTACTGTACAAATTCGTGTTTTTTGAGCAATAGGTTTAGTTATAGGTTGTATCATGTTTGTGCAATCACTTTGGATTCTGAGCTTGTCAACTTTCTTTATACCGAACTGGAAGTTTTTATAGTCAAAGTTTTCATAAACTCCTTATAGAATCTTATAGAATAATTACTGTTTCTGTACAGAGCTCTATAATAAATAAAAAAAAGTTCGTTATAGGTATTTCTTAAGTCGACTGTAATTTTTAGTTCTAACGATGATTCCTTAGTACATCAAATTAGTGTTATGTGATGTATTATTTAACTGTGAAAACGCGACCAAAATTTTAGTTTGACAAATATATAAACTTTAATAACTTATATAATATAATGAAACATAAAATAAAAAATCTATCTATATACAATTTGTGTAAGCTAAAAAGGTTAAGTCATGTCTTTTGAATAAACGCGTGTAGTGTCCAATAAATAGAGAGAACCATAAATAGAGAGAAGGCAGTTTATTATATATAATGACTTGACAGACTTAGAATTGCTGTATCTAATAAATTCCAATTATAAATATTGTATCTATAAATTATATTATACGAAGCGTAATTACAAAAATTATTAATAATAGTATTTAATTATTATTTTTTTTTCACTTTAACGATGCTAATAATTGTTATAAAATAGTCGTGAAAGTTGAAAAGCATCTTAATAAAACCAAGAATGCCTGAATTAAACCCCATAAAAACGGAATCCAAACTGACATTGGGAAATCTCCAGAACTGTATAATGCAGCCAAAACATATCCTATAAAAATATATATATTGATTATTGAAATATTAAT